ACTGAAATACATCACTTTGGGGGAACTGTGACCATGTGACCAGACCAACTTTAATTAGTCATTGGTAGATCCTTGGAGGAGGTGTCTGGAGACAGAAGATAGAAATACATGCCATTTACTTTTCATCAGCTGGTAAGCATGCTGAAAATCCTACCCTATCCCCCAACTTTAGTGAGTTATTCAGGGCAGAAATAAGAGTCAGGTCAGCATATCACTACCCTAGTAAGCTGTTATATCAATACTGCAAGGGCTGAGTTACTTTAAGGAGACCTATAAATAGAAGCTTAAATAAATTAATGCTTAGCTCTTCACAAGGACTAGAAAGTGCATTATGATTGGATTTCCCTTTCTAGATAACTCATGGTTGTATTGCCTTTCCATAGATTGGAATGAAGCAACAGTATGAGCTTGGACAATACATAAAGAAGAGATATTCAAACTTTCTGAGTGCCAGTTACAAAAGAGAGGAGGTGAGTACAGGAACATATAAGAGTTTTCTCCAATTCTAGTCATATATGGCTCGAAATATCAAAGACTCAGAATTCTGATGCCCAAAGATAAATTATACATGTTTCCTGTATAATTGTTCTCACACTTACAGCTAGGATAAGATATCTGAGAGCCAGCAAATTATGGGAATTGTGGATGAATAAATTCAACTTTCTGGAAATTCTATTTAATGTATCTGTCTGTTTGTTTGCCAGATTTCTATCTCCAGGAGAACTTAAGACCACCTCCAATTTTTCCATCAGCAGCATCACTGTAGGAGATGTTGGGCTGAGAGGTAGTGACTGGCCCAAAGTCATCCTGTAAGCTTGTATGGTTGAGGATAGATTTGAATTTGGGCCTCCCCAGTCCGCATTCAAAATTTTAAGAACTATCACATTAGCATTCAGACTTTTTTAATGGCTGTCTCAACTCACTTCATTTTTGACAGAAGCCTCAAGAGAAGGTTGCTTAAAGTAGAGTTCTCTTGTTTCTGTTTTGGGACATATTTGAATTTTTAAGGTCTCATCATGTGCATTTTCATAAAATGCTGCCATAAGGGGCACACCTGTTCACAGAATGTGCAGTCACTGTACAAGTTAAGTGCACTCACCAGAAGAAATAAACCAGTAACACCAAGTATACCATATAAAAGCATGCACATTAAAGCAAAAGAAATACACTCAGTACACAGAAAACACTCTTGTCTCTACCACATCTCTATTTCCACAGGATGTTCTCCGCCACTCTCAGGCTTAATTTTCTTTTCTCTAGGTGGCCAGGCAAAATTCCGAACAAAACACCAAGTTGCTGTAACACAGTGCCCTTTTATTCCTTTCAGATCTTAATTCAGAGCACTGAAATTGATCGAACCATCATGAGCGCCCAGGCAAATCTTGCTGGTCTGTTCCCACCTACTGGTGATCAAATCTGGAATCCTGAACTCCTGTGGCAACCAGTCCCAGTACATGTAGTTCCAAAGGCCAGCAATCCAGTGAGTATCAGTAATATAAATCATTCTTCCAGGTTTTTAGGCACTTCTTCTGTCAATAAGGACATGCAAACATTTTCTATTTGACAAACTCATCTCTCCAAACAGAGGTTTATTACCAATTCAGAGTCTTTCTACATTAGACAGCAACAAATCCTCTGTTCTAGTTTATCTACAGTCCTTTATTACTCTCAGTATCAGTTTCATTATTGCATTTGAATGTAGGAGTTGGGTTTCAGGCTCCTTCTGCCAACACAAAAGGAGGAGCTGACTACTACTTCTAGCACAGGAATTTCCCTGTCTGCCCAGTCACATGATTTGATCTGCTAAGGATCTGACTGTAGAATAACCACACCTTGGGCTGGATTAGTTCTGCTCTGTTTGCTATTTGTGAGGATGGATGGATCCATCTGTTTCTGGTCCATGTTTCAATTTAGCATGTGTTCATGCATCAATATATTCTGTCCCATTTTTGCATTATACCAAAATATTTAAATACGCATTGAAATGATATTTCCCATGCATTTTAGCACAGGTAAAACATTCATAAATATCTGAAATATCAAAGTACTCATTTCTAAATATTTTTATCATTTAATATGCATTTTTATATCTGTTATGGTATGCTTTGAGCCTAACATTGTACTATGGAGTTTGAAATTTGAAATCTGGATATTAACTGGGGAGGGGAAAATTAGGCTGTATTCCTCAAGTACTCCAAAATCATAGGTGTATAGAATGTATATTTGCTTTTGCTTTTTGTTTTAGGTACTGTAGTCTGCCTCCAGTTATTGAACATTTTAATTTTTGGTTAAAAATAACCCAGAAAATTATAATTGCCTAACCATGTTCTGTCCTAGTTTGAACTGTAACTTGACATCTTCATGTAAAATGGCCAGCTATGCAGAGCAAGCCACTTAATGTATCTACAGTTATATGCACATGCATTAGAAACATGCACTGAATTACTATACTGATTACCAATAGTCCTTGTTTAGTGACTGCCTCGTTTAGCAACCATTCACAGGTATAACGGTGATGAAAAAGTAACTCTATGACAAATCTTCACATTTAAGACCTTCACAGGTCTGTAAAACAAAGCTGAAGTAAGATCATAAGCACAGTCGCAGTTTCACCTAGTGACCGATGAATTTATATCCAACATGAAATACAACTAGTGGCTTTGCTTCTTTTTTCACCTCCCCCACCCCACTCACCTTCCTTCAAAATTCACAGGAAGCCATACAATATAATTTGACCTTGGCTTAGCACTGCAGTTCTGAAACTAAGATTCTGTGACTCCCCCACAAACTATGACCTCCTCACCTACATCAATCATGAATCCCTGAAAAGTTACAGCTGAGGCTTTGAGAAACCCAGACTTAGCATGATGTGGGAACCCAGACGTTATGGCTTACAATCTTTGGGCAGAGGTGTCTACTTTTCCAGTTGCTGGATGCAAAATGATATGGACAACAACGTGATTTTTTTTAATGGCTGAAATGTTGTGAAAGAGGGTGATCATAGCAATTCAGCAATTAAATAATAATAATAATTTGGGGGATCCCAATGATGCCATTTAGATGTTTGCATCTTGACACCATTGGGTATCATGAGGCAAATCCCCAATGTATGATGTATTATCTGTGAACGAGGGTCGCTATGGAATTTTCAAGAAAGCTTTGCTAAAGAAGCATGGTTTAATGCAATGTCTGAACCCAATGTAAAGAAAAGTGATCAAGAAAAGCCTTAGGTATGAAGACAAAAATGAGTTAGCTGCATGTTACAGTCTCATTCTTATATTTCAGAAATTACGTTATCCAAATTTTCAATGTCCACGCTACAGAGAACTTTTGAAGAAAACAATGGCATCAAATGAATTCCAGGAAAAAATTAAACCATATGAGGTAACAAAAAATAGAGTGATAAGGATGAAGATTGTCTTAAAATACTACTTGTGAATTATTTTTTTACAGTTAAAAAAAGGAGAATGTCAGACTGCAAGTGAGGCTGTCTCAGCCTTCTCCAGTAGGACATCTGTTTGCCATACAGAATGGCCATCCTGGGCATTATTGTTGCAACACATCTGGAAGGCTTTGGGTTCTACCCAGATTGACTCTTCATTCTCAGAGCTGTTAGGTTCAAATGCAAAGGTCTCTGTGCTTGCAGTAAGCAAGCAAAAAAATGGAGTCTTTACTACTGATAAAGATCATTGGACTGGGGAATAGCTGTATTGAGAGAGGCCTGTCTCTTCCAATTGCCATCTGTGGATGAAGTGCTGTCTTAACCGTCATGACAACACAAGGCACTTCTCTGCCTGCATATCTATAGAAGCTCTGTAGGCTGAGCTGTGTGAAATTTATTTAGAAGAGGACCAATAAGTGATTGTGCTATGGTATGCACCCACACACATGCACACACACACAGAGAGATCTGTGTGGCTCCCATCCTGATGGTGTTCTGGGAGTCTTTAAAAATCTGGTTGTTCTTCCAGGCCTTGGGGTAAACTGACTACTGAGCCCTGCTGCGTGTGGTTTTTGTAGTATATGGAGTTTCTTGTCCAGACATATATGGTTTCTTCTGTTACTATTTTTTTAGTCTTTTAAAATATAGGCCAAAGTCACTCTGGAGTCTGGCGTCCTTTAAATCTAATGAAATAAATGAATAAATAAAGTGTGCAAGAATAGATATTCTGCTGAGACATTACTTCTACACTACAAAAAAAGTACCCAGTACAACTGTTTGAAATGGAGACAAATGGTTTAATAATACAATATGCTAAAAAAATACTGGCATTGCATATTACCTAATACAGGATTAGTTTAATAAATCATATTATGGCTTTGTAGTTGGGACAAAAATTAACATGTAGTATTATTCAACTATGGACCAAATATCTAGACTCTAGAATAGTGTTTATCAACCTTGGCAACTTTAAGATATATGGACTTCAACTCCCAGAATTCCCCAGCTAGCAATTAGTCCACACATCTTGAAGTTGCTAAGGTTGAGAAACACTACTCTAGAACCTCTAGAAAATGATATTTTCAACTAGACTAGAGTACAAATCAAACTTAATGTATCCAACTATTTGATTAGCCAAAGAAAAAATGATCATTGAATAGTTATTTTCACTTTTCATTCACTTTTGAATGAATTCCTTCAGTAGGCCACTAAAAATTGCTGATAGGAAATTGTTTTATTGGCAATTTATATATGTTATTACATCCAAGATTCAAAAGGGGTTGTTCATTGTGAGGCATTGCTGTCTATTATGTCTGAATCAGAAGATCACAGTTGCTAGTTTCCGAACCGGGCAGGATCTTAAACAATGCTTTAAAGTTTACTTAGAAAGGAGGATGGGAAGAGGAATGCAATGATTATTTCTACCTCAACTTTTAACATTTAGTCTGGGCAGTAATGCTGGACTAGAGTAAGCTTTTCCAACCTAATGCCATCCAGACATCTTAACCTTCCACTCCCATAATTCCCAATTTGAATTGCCTTTGGCTGGATATTATGGGAGCTAAAGGTCAGCTTGGCTGGAAGGCACTCGGTTGGAAAAGACTGTCTTAGAGACTACATAATTGCAACACTGCATGTGATTAGACTATTTAATTCCAAGCACTATAATCTGATCTCAGCATACTTGTATGCAAGCCTGTTGTAGTCTTGTACATAATATCACAACCTGCATGAACATGTATCTTGTGTCTTGCTTTGCCTTTTAAGGATGCTGTTTTTATCTCCTTTCAGGAATTCATCGAAACAATAGCTTACTATTCAGGATATGATGCTCCCGTTCTCAAATATCCCACAAATTTTAAAATCTGGCATGTACAGGATACCCTGTTCTGTGAGGTATGTATTTTTTAATAAATTAATATTGCAGCCACTTACTTTCAATAGATAGAACTAAATTTATTTAGAATTATTCGATAAGATCTAAAATGTACATAGGAAGCAGTGGTAAAGTCAAACACAGTCTATGAAGAAAGAATGGAATATTCTGATAAAGTGTAAAAGCATGACAATTATTTTATTGGGAAAATGGATTTGAAAGTTAGGCATTAACTGTAGTTCATTGCCCTGTTTGCCTGAATGGATCAATGGGATGAAAGATAATAGTTAAGCAATACAGCTGAGCAGGGTTTTGATTTGAAGGTGATTAAATCAGCTAACTCCATGAGACTGAATTGCCTGCTTGTTTCAGTACTTCAGATTGAATCAAGTGCCTCCAAATCAATTTGACAATTCAACAGATTTTTGCATGTGTACTCATACACATATACATTTTACCTACATAAAACTTTGAACCAGTTAGACAAATTGAATGGACCTGATTCAGGGGAAATTCAGATAATAAGATAGATCCCCCATCATAGTAAACTATAAGCCAAAGTTTACAAACCAGAATGGCTGGTTTCATCGTTATTATGTTTATTATATTATTCATGCATTATCATATTATTCATGCATTATGGTTTATCATGATATGAACACAGCCAGGGAGGAAGTACTGATTAAATACCAAATCATGGTTTAGCATTATAAGAATTAGTCCTGATTTGACTCATAGGGTCCTTTATCTCCCATCATGCCATTAGGAGTAATGAAAGTTCCTAGCTTAATGAAAAACTTAGATTTGCAAACCTGGTCTTCAGCAAAGCACCACGAACCATAGCTTGCTTATTCAGATGATAAATCAAGATTAGAATTTTGTAATTGGGACAAGAAAGAAGCAGAGAACATTACATGAACCTGAGGTTCTCAAGAGCTCATTCTTATCATCAATCATGCCACAGCATTACAACTCAACAAAAGTTGCATCAATTGTACCAGTATAGCCTGAATTGAATGAGGAGTGTCTCATACTGGAGACCAAGACCAAAGGATTTTCAGGTTGCTTTACTGGTTCATCACTTTATCTGATTCTGCTGAGCTTGAAGTTTCTGTATCTTTCCTGTTTACTGCAGTGATATCTTATGCCTAAAATTCCTTTTGCCTGATAATTTCTATGGGAGAGGAAAGGAGTTCACCAAGTCCCTGTGCCAAAGACAGGACATTAGTTAACAATTTAACTTGCAACAGCTATGATTTGTTTTGTGACAGGAAGTTATTGAGTAAGGGAACAAAGTCTAGGATTTCTTAGTTAGGGAGCTGCTGGCATTCTGCCAGAAATGGAAAGCAAACTCCAAAGCTAGGAAGACAAGGGAAATTAAAAGTTCATCATATGAAAACATGATCTGAGGAAACTAGGCCTCTAATTTTTTGGGGGCCAAATAAAAGACCATTTCAGGTTTAAGTTGGAACTATCATGGGATATACTAGATGCAGAAACATCCTGCTTTGCTTCAGGGTTCCAAAGTAAGTAACTGAGGTTCCCTCTAAATCTGAAATTGATCATGGACCCTGATGTATTCATATATTACACTGAAGTGTGGTTTGTTTGGTTCTGACAAAATGTAGTAAGTGTAGTAACCAGGAATTGTGGTTTTTAAACTATAGCTTATGATTTAGCATGCTATTGTGCAAGCCCAGCCACTTGTAGTTTGTTAAAACATGATTAAATAAACCATAGCTTTGCATAATGGGCAAACCGAGCCATTGATACTGCTGAAGATTGAAGAGAAGGGAAACCAAGCCAAATATCCCAAGTGTCCAATAGACAAAGGACTTAAGATCATCCTTTTTAATTGCAGTCTATTCACAATTTTACGTTACCTGAATGGGCTACTGAAGATGTAATGGCAAAGTTGACAGAGCTTACTGAATTATCCTTGTCATCACTGTTTGGTATTTACAAAAGAGAAGAAAAAGCACGGCTGCAAGGAGGTAACAAAGGCACTGTGATCATTGAAACATCTTTATGTACCATGTATTCTAGCTAAAATAAACCACAAAGCATTTGGGCTGGATGTTCTAATTAGTTTTGATCTCTTAATCAACAAAAGCTGTGGCTGATAGGTTAATCAATAGAGGCCAATTTTAATCAACAAGGAAGGATTTTAATTGGCAGAATTGTAAGACAAATTTGTTTTCAAAGCTATTTTGGGTCTGCTGTTTCATTGTAGTGGATGTTGGCGATATCCCTTACCCTCCATTATTACAGATGAAAGATGCAAGTTCTCAAAGCTTCTAGGGTGCCAGTGCAACACTATACTCTCCAGCTATCTCGTGGAAGTGGTTGAACAAAGTTTCCAGACATAGGCATGTGGTTCAAATATAGGCTTTTGTTACAAGCCACGATAATGTCAAAATGATGCCATGAGCATCATGGCAACACAAGTCAACACAAATGCAAATGATACAATTCCATGTTGCATTATGACATCTAATGCCACCACATAAATTACATCATTTGTGTGATGGCATTATGATGCCTGTGTTAATTGCCTCCCCTTGCCTCCTCTCCATAGGCCCATGGTTTCAAGAGAATTTCAGACAAAGGAATACTTTAAATTTGATGAAGTGCAAACATTAAGAAAAAAGGATTAATTTATTCTGCCTCCTGCCTCTTTTGCCATGCTAGGAAAAAAACAGGCACTTGCTTCATCCTTTCAGTGATAAACAGTTTTTCAATTATGGAAAACTATGGTTGGGTCAAAACTCACATTTAACCTTAGTGTATTTTAATTCTGGTTTGTTATCAAGACTGATTCACACTTAATGCCTAAACCATGGTTTACAAACCATGCCCATAATTAAGTCAGTTTGCTTAACCAAGGTTTAATGAATAGGTTAACAATATCACATTAAGCTATAAGCTATGGTTTACAAACTACAATTACTGGGGTTTTATTTACGGCACTAAAGTGTAGTATCATTTATGGATTAGCACACTGTGTGAACCCAGCCTAAGAAGCCCTGCTCCCAACCAGACCCTTTGAATCCTGCTAATGGAGCTGGAATCCAGGAGAAGTCCAAATTCTGTACCACTTCAATATGGGAAAGTGCTACCCCTTTTTCCTAACCCCTCATTCAGAATCAAAGATAGAAAATCTCTAGCACTGAAAAACAATGTACCCGTTTTCTTTAATTGATTCTTTTTTCTCATTTGGAACCTCAATAGTACCTGTATTAAGAATACTTAAAGTACATTCCAGTGAAGTTCATTGGAAAGTATAGGACTGCAACCTGACTTGCTTTTTCACCATTATTAATAACACTCATTTGCCCTTCCATTAAGGTCTCCTTGTGAAATATATTCTACAACAGTTCTCAGAAGCTCGATTTCCACAGAAAAGAAAGATGGTAGTCTATTCTGCAGTAAGTATCTTTAAAAATCAGCTAGCCAGCCAACCAACAACTGTATGCATACACTGATAACAGTTCTGCTGCTCAGACTCAATGAAATTTAATAGCTGAAATTTGTGGAGGATCACAGCTTTTATCAAAGTGATTTTGAAGTGCTGTCTGGTCTCTAACTTGGATGAGAATGTCTGAGAATTATGATAGAGAATAATACAGAAGATTGATTGATCCATTATGTTCCATCAAGTCAGTGTCAAGTCTTAGCAACCACATCAATAGATTTTCTCCAGGATGATCTGTCCCCCACTGAGTCCTCTTTCAATACTGGGACTATCAGTAATTGGACTTCCTTGTGGATTATTCTGGCTACATCATCATCTCCAGATCTTTTCATGGAAGCTCAACATTCTTCTTTAATAACTAGAGGCTTTCCAATCTGGGAGCTTCATTGTCTGGCCCCCAGATTTGTCTAAAGTTTTCACTTATGCTCATACAGTTTTCTTGGGAACATTATAGAAGTCTTTTGCCTTCTCCTGGGTTTGAGTTTGATGTTCCCTCTTCTAGATTTCCCCCATGACTGCAGAAACCACCTGCTCTCACCTCTATTATCAATTACTTTAAGTAAGAGTAATCTCCCTCCCCTTTGACCTTACAGACAAGGGTGCTCCTGATCAGGAGCACATGTTCCTGCCAGCATCCTTTCAGAATCCTGAAAGGATTGATCCCTCTTTTCACATCCAGGTGGTAAATCCCTAGTAGGGATGCTACTATAATACCTTAGGTCTATAATGACATAATACAAAAATACTCCAAAAAAGATGTGCATCCTTGTTTTAAAAATACAGGAGTCTTACTTGGAAAATGCAAAAGATAATCTGTAATTGATGCATATATGTGTGTGCAGGTGGAACAAAGAGAGAGAACATTTGTTATTTACTGCAGAAGAAAATAGTTGAAGGAAGACGCATTCTCAGATTAACAATACTAGGCATCTATGTACAGTATCAGTATAAAACAACTGTAATTAGCAATATCATTCTATTCACAATAATATTAATATGTACCTTTTCCCATTTTACAGCATGACACTACTCTTGGTGCCCTGCAGATGGCACTCAATACATACAATAATAAACTACCACCTTACGCTTCTTGCCAGATTTTTGAACAGTATGAAGAAGAAAATGGGTAAGTATTTTACCATAGGGGAGGGCATACTTGTGAAATCAATTTCATTTTTTGCTAGAACCTGGACCTCTACAAAATAAGCAGCTCAGGTGGGCAAATATACACAAAACATTAAGAACAGGTTATTTGTGATTACATACTCATTCCAGGACTGTGTGATCGATATCAGGTTCACAGATCTTTTCTCTCACACACAAAATCCTACTCCCTGCTCCAAACTTTCTTTTTCTGCAACCTAATTTAAGTGCAAATAGCTTTGTAGTTATTGTTTCTGTTAAAGAAAAAGGAACCAAAATCCTGCAGCTCACCCAGAAATCTACCAGTAGATCCTGACCTACCTTCTTTCTATACATATTTTGATCTTCAGCTAGGACTGACAGATCTGAGCTAGAAGAAAGAAGAAAGAAGAAAAAAACAAGAAGGAAGAAGGAAGAAGGAAGAAGGAAGAAGGAAGAAGGGAGGGAGTGAGGAGGAGGAGGAGGAGGAGGAGGAGGAGGTTTTCTGCTTCTACCTCATGGTGATATGGAATTTTGCAGCAGATCTGGTAGCTTCATCCTTAACAATCAATAGACCTTTATTACCAAATGACAGCATCCATTCATTTTCACCAAGAGTAGGCAAATGTTTTGAGCTGATGGCCGTATTTGGAATTTTGAGAGCAAGCCGTGGCTTTGCATGCAGAACTACTATATTAGAGAGGAGAAGCTTGCCTATTCACAAAATAGAGGATGTCACAAACATCAATTTATTAATAGGCAAACTGGTAAGATTATATCTCTGCCCTTTTCTTCCAGGATGCTCCCTACCATGTCCTCATCCCATAGGGTTATAGAATACTTTGAAGCGGCAGCTTCCTGTGGCTTTCCTTCAAATGGAAAGGCAAGAGAAAACTAGAGCTTAATCTTCAAATATCTAGGAATTAATAACTCTATCCTAGGGCAGTAGGTTTCTGGGGATTTTCTCTTTTGGAGCAGTTCAGAACAGTCTCTTGAAGTAATGTTCCTCGTTATATCAGAAAGTTTAAGGGTCAGATAGACCTACTGTAGCTTCATATAGTTGAATTGTATTCCTTATTTCTAGAATGAATTTCTAGATCTGTACTGCATTTTTGAAGAAAATTCCTCAACATGTGATATTCTCTCTTCCTCCTCCCCCCCCCACCCCCCGGCTTCTGTAAATCAGAGTTCACACTATTGAAATGTATTTTCGAAATGACACTTCAAAAGAACCCTACCCAGTCACTCTACCTGGCTGCTCATCTGCATGTCCACTATCACAGTTTGCAGAACTGGTTTCTCCTATCTTGGTAGACAACTGGGAAAAAGAATGTAAGAAGACAGACAGAGATGAAGGTAATATTATTATTAAATATTATTAAACCTTATTATTGCTGTTGTTCAACCTTAGCTAACCATGTAACATGCTGCAAACAGAAGTGACTACAAAATATAAATACTGTATTTTGACTTCCAATTGGAAACCAGATGTGACTTTTAAAATATTGTTAAGGCAAACATCCTACATCCAAAGAAAATGTATACGCAGAGTTTCATAGCATATAAAATTAAGCTTTTTTTATGAGCAGCCTCCTTCCCATCAGTGATTGACGCAAGCAGCTTCCCCGCTGAGGGGGAGATTAAGTCAGGCCATTGACTGGCAGTTATGGGCTTGAACATTTTCTTCAAGTTCTAGAAGATGTCAGAGAACCAGTTTCTAGTTGTTACTGAATTCATTGTGGGGTTGCTCAAGAAAAGCAGTTTTGGTCATCAACAAAAGTTTGGATGACATGTTGGAATTTCTTAAACTTCTGGGCCATGGTGGTATCTTTCCCTACCTCCTGAGTGGAGGCTATCACATCTACAGACAAAGCTATCAGGATCACCACAACAGAGCACAATTTGCATGATTGCCTTTTACTTCTTGTTGGGTTGGAAAACCAAGGTGGAATTTCAGCTTTTCCTTCTCAAATGAAGTCTATCATACAAGTTACCATCGCTGATGCTACATTATATTGTGTTATGGTACTGCTTTAGAAAAAATACCTC